CGTGCGGCCATCCAGCCAGTTCTTTATCCAGCTGTAGCCAAGTTTCATAGCGAAGTTTCTCCCTTTGGATTTAACAGTATCCCACAATCTTAGAACTAACATGTTACATTATGATTTAATCTGGACAAATATCCTGAATACTGACATCTTTAAAATGTGGACTTTCTGCTCCCCGATTAAAATTCTGCTTCTCAGTTAATGCTTGCTATAATCTGTTCCCAGAAAACCCAAATGAGTTCTGAATCAATAACCTTAAACAGCTTGATTACGTAGTCAAAGTGAAATACAAATGCCCTCAAAAGCACCCAAAATACTGAACAGTATTTGCTTTATCACTTAGCTTTGTCAGTTACCAATTCAACCTAATGCCTGTAAACATGAATTGCATGCCAGCAGCTGTTTAGACTCTCAGGCTTTTCAATGTTTACAGCTGAAGTGACATATCAATATAGGCAGCGGGGTTTTTTGATAAGAGATTGCTGATTTTTCTGCTTTGTTGTAAGCCAGTTTGAATTTCCCACAAGATATCACAGTATAAGAGGGTTATTTGCACTTCAAGACAAGCAAAAATTCAGGACATTTTCACTAATCAGTACCTTATGTCCCAAAGCAACCTCAAAAAATGGAACAGACATAATGGGAGAACAGAGGAATGCCAGAGATGGTCAAAAAATAAAGCAGCAGTGACATCATAAAATGGTTTGGGTTGGAAAGGACCTTAAGATCAGCTAGTTCCAACCCTCCTGCCATGGGCAGGGGTGCCTAACACTAGACCATGTCACCCAAGGCTCTGTCCAACCTGGCCTTGAACACTGGCAGGGTTGGAGCATTCACAACTTCCTTGGGCAACCTATTCCAGTGCCTCACCACCCTCACTGTGAAGAACTTCTTCCTTGTATCTAACTTGAACTTCCCCTGTTTAAGTATGAAGCCATTACCCCTTGTCCTACCACTACAGTCCCTAAAGAAGAGTCCCTCCCCAGCATCCTTGTAGGCCCCCTTCAGATATTGGAAGGCTGCTCTGAGGTCTCCATGCAGTTCTCCAGGCTGAACAGCCCCAACTATCTCAGCCTGTCTTCATACGGGAGGCGTTCTAGACCCCTTGTTGGACTTGCTCCAACAGCTCCATGTTCTTTTTATGTTGAGGACACCAGAACTAGGACATCCTTACTGCATTCTAGAAAATCCAATTATAATGAATCTGGCCTAATTGTTTATATTACTACTTTTTCATGTATGCCTAAACTACTACAAAATCTACATACTGCCAGCTGTTACTAAGGGACAAAGAACAGAAATTTCCTAGCAGTATATGAAATTCCTATTTTTTAACTGCTCTTAGAATTACAACACAATTGTAATTTTCTTTGGTGGTTTATTTTTCTCCATTCTGATATAGGTGTAAGTACTGCTTGAGACAGTATTTAACCTGTATTTAGAATATTTTATAATTTTCTTAACATATTAAAGCACTATACCTGAGTGAGAGTACAAACTTTTTTATATCCTTACTAGGATAACACCCATAATCCAAAGGGAAGTGGTCAGTGCCCTGCTACACCACTTTGACACACACAAGTGTATTAGGGCCAGATGGGATCCACCCAAGGCTCCTGAGGGAGCTGGCTGAAGTGCTCACTGAGCCACTTTCCGTCATTTATCAGCAGTCCTGGCTAACCGGGGAGGACCCAGTGGACTGGAGGTAGCAAATGTTACGCCCATCTACAAGGGCTGGAAGGGGAATTTGGGGAACTGCAGGCCTGTCAGCCTGACCTCAGTGCCAGGGAAGGTGATGGAGCAGATCATCTTGAGTGCCATCATGCCATCACAGGGCATGTATGGGACAACCAGTTGATGAGGCCCAGTTAGCATGCATTTATGAAAGGCAGGTCCTGCTTGGCAAATCTCATCTCCTTTTATGACGTGACCCATCTGGTGCACGAGGGAAGATTGTGGATCTTGTCTACCTCAACTTTAGCATAAAGCCTTTCACACCATTTCCCACAGCATTCTCCTGGAGAAACTGGCTGCTCATGGTTTGGACAGACACCCGCTCTGCTGAATAAAAAACTGTCTGGATGGCTGAGACTAAAGTGTGGCGGTGAATGGAGTGAAATCAAGTTGGCAGTTGGTCATAGTAGTGTTCCCCAGAGCTCAGGACTGGGGCCAGTTCTGTTTAGTATCTTTATCAATGATGTAAACAAGGAGATCAGGTACATGCTCAGTAAGTTTACAAACAACACCAAGTTGGCTGGGAGTGTTGATCTGCTGGAGGATAGGAAGGCTCTGCAGAGGGATCTGGACAGGCTGCATCAATGAGCTAAGGCCAATGGTATAAGGTTCAACAGGACAAAGTGCCGGGTCCTGCATTTGAGCCACAACAACCCAATGCAACACTCCAGGTTTGGGGAAGAGTGGCTGGGGAGGTGGCTGGCAGAAAAAGGACCGCAAGGAAGCTGCCTGGCAGAATAGGACCTGCAGGTGTTGGCTGACAGCTGCCTGAACATGAGCCAGCTTGTGCCCTGGCAGCCAAGGAGGCCAATGGCATCCTGGCCTGTATCAGAGATAGTGTGGCAGCAAGGCCAGGGCAGTGATTGTCCCCCTGTACTGGGTACTGGTGAGGTTGCACCTCAAATACTGTGTTCAGTTCTGTCCCCCTCACTACAAGAGAGACACTGATGTGCTGGAGCATGTCCAGAGAAGGGCAACAAAGCTGATCTGGAGCACAAGTCCTACAGAGGAACAGCTGAAGAGAACTGGGGTTGCGTAGTCTCAGGGGAGACGTTATTGCTCTCTACAAATGCCCCAAAGAAGGCTGTAGCACAGTGGGTGCTGGTCTCTTCTCCTAAGTAACAAATGATAGGACAAGAGGAAACAGCTTCAAGTTATGCCAGGGAAGGTTTAGACTGGATATTAGGAAAAATTTCTTCATTGAAAGGGATGTCAAGCACTGAACAAGCTGCCCAGGGAAGTGGTTGAGTCTACATCCCTGAAGGTGTTTAAAAGACTTCTAGGCATGGCACCTAGGGACATGGTTTAGAGGTGGACTTGGCAGTTAACAGTTGCACTCAATCTTAAAGGTCTTTTCCAACCTCAACAACTGTATGAAGAAACAGACAAACTGAACCTTTTTTCATTGCATTTTCACATCCAACTCAAACATATTTTCCAGTAGTTTACAACATCAACTCATTTTCATGTTTCAGCACGTTTTCCTGAATGATATCAAGTACCACCACATTTTTAATTTTAAGTCCTGGTGACTAAAATGAAACATGTGCAATGCAACCAATCAGCTCACCCTTACAATATCAGAGTCGTCCCTCTTGTCAGTTTTTTTCCCTGGTAAGGGTGAAGTCAGTGTGAATTCTTCATTTTCACTGTGGTCCATTTCAGTACTGTCAAGCCTAGGATGAATAAACATTTATTCTCCTCATTATTATCATACAGCAGGCAATCATTTAAAAAGATATATATTAAGAACAACATCACTTCTAGAGGTCACTTTTCTTCTGCTTTGGTATCTCCACTCAAAACACTGATCAGTTTAATTTAGGTGAACTGGGCAGATTATGAAGATGACAGAACATGTCAGACTGCAAGCACAGCATTTTTTAAATGAACTGGATGTAGAACACTATTAGTCTCAGATTCATTTCTGGATATAGAGAATAATCTGGATTGCAACGTGTCTTTAGCCAATAATGTATTTTGGCATATGAACCTGCATGACTTGTAAGAAATAAGTCTTTCTGTGGACTTCCCATGGAGGAGTATTTTTTGTAAAACACTGCACTACATTTAGAATTAGTATTATATATTAATATTATAAATTAAATTAACATTACACATTAATGCTACGTAAATATCATGTGAGAAGTATATTTCCAAACATAACATTTTTCCTCACAGTCTTGAAGTAATGTGAGAAAATGTGAATATGCAATCTCTAAATGGTTTGTGAAAAAAATTGATGTGATTTTCAGTTGAAAAATTAGCATAAGAAGATACAATAACTGATTAATAACCTTAAAAATTGACACAAAATAAGCTCTAATTTTTGAAGACTGGTAACTAGAAGTAGGTTTATGCAGCATTACATTATATTCCTCCTTCCATCACACGAACCTAAAATCAAAAAATATTGAAATGTTTATCTTCCCAGACTTTGCAGAGGAGGAAGTCATGCAAGATCACCACAATGGCCTACAGTCCTCACTGTCTACGACGTGTTGTTAACATTACAGCAGGCCACAGAGTTCCTAGGAACTGTAGACGTATGTACACACACACAAACACGTATATACATGTGTGTGGGTTATATATACATATTAAGAAAGAAAATTAACATGAGATCTCTTTCCCACCTACAGCCAACTCTGGATATGATTTCATTCTGTTGGTTTTTTGTTTGGGGTTTCTTTTAAAGCAAATTTATTTCTTGGGTTCGAAAGCCAAATTCATGGTTTCAGTTACACCAATGTGGCACCATAACTTTACTTCAAAATAAGATAATACAATTCTGTTTCTCACTTAGAAAACATTATAGAAATATTCAAAGTTGCCATTACAAATACTTGAAATACCAAAGCTGCTTTGTTGTCTACCAACCTCCCTTTGATCCTTCCTGGAGAGCTTGGATTTGAACTGCTGCTGGCATTGCTTACAGTTTCCATTCGTGAAGATTTGGATTGAGACTGCTTGCCTGCTGACGAAAGAGGCTTATTAACTGCTCCAAGAACATTGGCTGCTTTGGGCTGAAACCAAAAATATATTTCCTTTACTTTTAGCTACACATTTAGATATTGTTACATGTACTATGCTTAAAATATTCACACATTTCACTTTCTGCAATCAATATCTTAGTTTTAACACAAAGCTATGAACATTTTCATATGAAAGTTACAACAGACACCAGAAGGATGCTGACAAAGCTGTAATCAAATAGCCTGCTGCCATCAAAAACAGTATTCTTTTCTCTACCCTTATATTCTGTCCTCTTCTCATTGGTAGTACTGGGTGCTCACCTGACCCTTCAGTAAGCCACTTCAGCATTTTTGTGCAGTTTGCTTTCTGCTGATCTAGGTGCCTGAACCAGCTCACCATTTGGATCAGAGAAGCAGTTGTACTGGCAAAACAGAAATAGCAATAGGACAGCCCTTTCACCAAAGAAGCCATTAAACTGGCTTACCTGTAATGGCAAACCACACTAGTTTCAACTGGGAATAAATTAGAATCCAAAAAACCAGATACTATGGAGAAGATTCCTATAGTTCATGCACAGATTTTAAATGTTAGGCTTTTAACAGGTGCCAAAATTTCCAGACACTGGTGAGCTTCAGGTTATTCATTTAACTGGATTATCTTTCAGACATGCCAAATACCTGCAAGCTCACACTAACTTTTGAAGGAGCTGAAAGAGTTCAGTTACTCCTAAAGAGAATACACCTTTATGCCAAACACCTACGTACAAAACCACTAAAGACCATTCCCTTCAATTCTCATCATCTAGGATGAACCATCTTCTATTTCAGTATTAGATTTGAGCTATGTCCCAAGTCAGTGACAGCTGAAGAAAAAAAAACAACTTCAACATGCACATCGCAGCAGCTTTGGGTGTCTTTTTCAGAGATATGCACCATGGAAGTGCTAGTTATACTTTTATAGCTGGAGGGAATTTTACACGTACAGCAAAGATTCCCTCTGCACAGAGTACAAGAAAAACAGCATATCCTTTCCAAAAATAAACCTTGGAGAACAAAGTCCAGTTTAAGAATTTATATCTATTAGTTTAGAACTCAATGTTAATAAGTGAATACAGAAAGAGATCAAGAGCAGAGAGATGTTCAAATTCACACTGGACTGGACTTCCTACTAAAGAGGAACTAACAAACAGGGCCTGCACTAACAGCTCCTCCCTTACCACAGAACCTACACTCAAACTGCTGCCCTGCTTACATGTCCCCCACTGTAATCCACTCAAGCTAGTCTTCCACTCCCAAAACTAAGACTCCCTAGACCAACTCTCATTTCATGTTGCTCTCATGATGGTCAAATAACTGAAAAGTTTTGGTGGTCAAATACACCTCTAGGTTTGTTACAAATTTTCAGAACACCTGGCACTAGAAATTTAAAATAATATAAAAGCTAGTTTAGGATTCAAAAGAATCTCAGTTAGGATATACGAGAGATGGAGTTACTGGAGAGAGTCCAACAAAGGGCCTGTAAGAGGAAAGACAGGACCAGAGTGTTTTTCTTATGAGGAAAGTCTGAAAGAGCAAGGACTTTAGACTACATGAGCTCCAGAGGTCCCTTCTAACCTCCAGACATTCTGTGATTTTTTGTGCTAGCATAAACATGTTTCTTGTTTAATATTGTCATAGTACACTTAAGTTGGGGACAAACTACCAAGAATGTTTTATGTCAAGAACTGCATGAGAGAACTTAATATTTACTACTGATCAGAAATTAAGAGACAATTTCCATTTAAAGACTTCTGTATCTTCAGCAAGAAATGACTCTAATCCATGGAGTTCAAATACTGAAAAGTGCAATACTGATGATACATTCCAATCAGTAAATTCTGGCTTTCAACTTCTAATAAAAAAGATGCTCCTGTACATTTGCATCTTTTCCTGACTTGCATTCCTCCTTTATTAGTAGGTCACTACATTGCAGCAAATACTTCATTCGCAAAGTTAAGGGTAATGAAGATGTTGCACTTTTTCTTCTTTTGCAAGGTAGCAAATGAATGTTCTCCTGTAATCTAGATCAGGACACATGACTGTAAATTAAACAAATCACAATTTGTTTTTTTCCTTTGCTGGAATTCGATTTTATTTTAAAGAGTACATAGCTTTGGTGAAGAGAGAACATTGCCATTCCATACAATGCATATTTAGAAAGAACAACTTAATATAACCATAGAACAGTTATTTATCTTGCAAGATACTGTAAAATTATATTCAGCTTTGCCAAAGATTAACTTATGTGATTTTTAAAATCATTTGTATTAGCATTTTCCATAGCTGTCACTTCATATGCAATACTGTGTCTTCCACAGAAAAAGAGGTTAACCATTTTGCAAACTTATCAAGTATTATGGGGTTGGGTTTTTGGACTCTCTCCTTTACAAGACAACAGGCTTTGCCTACTATCACCACACCCCAGAACAGACAGTAGCAGTTTTCCCTTCTACCTAGGTCTTTCTCTTTACCTGTTTGCTAACCTTTGGTATATATACCCTTTGGGCAGAAATAATCAATTCTCTTAAACTTGAAGAGCTCATTAACTACATGTTAATTTTCTTAAAACAAACCAAAACCACAAATGCAGCACCAAAACCAAACACCCCCAACCTCCCCACCATGCATACGTACCTTTCCAGGAGTGAAAAAAGACTTCATTTCCGGAGGAAGATAATTTTTGGTGTTACTGAAATTCTGTAAAGGAATGATGGGGAGAAATGGAGGGTGGAATCAGAATAATAATCAATTAACAAGACACATACGTTTTGAAGGTAGTATTGAAAGATATTAACAAATGAGGAAGGAATGGTTGTGATGTGAATAATGATATTCATTGCTACATCACAGACTGTGATAAAATGCCTCCTCAGCAAGCTTGCTGGTGATACAAAACTGGGAAGGGTGGCTGATACCCCAGGGCGCTGCGCTCTCATTCAGAAGGATCTAGAGGGACAGGCATCTTTTGGAATTCATGAAGTGCAGGGTCCTGCTCCTGGGGAGAATAAATCCATGCACCAGTACAGGCTGGGGTCTGACCTGCTGGAAAGCAGCTCTGCAGAGAAGGACCTGAGGGTCCTGGTTGACAATAAGTTGTCCATGAGTCAGCAGCAACGTGCCCTTGTGGTTAGCAAGACCAATGGTATCCTGGGCTGCATTAGGAAGAGCACTGCCAGCAGGTGGAGGGATGTGTTCCTCCCTCTCTGCTCAGCCCTGGTGAGGGCTCACCTGGAACGCTGTGTCCAGTTCTGGGGTCCCAAATATTAGAGAGACATGGAGCTCCTGGTGCGAGTCCAGCAAAGGGCTACTAAGGGTCTGGAATGTCTCTTCATATGAGGAAAGGCTGAGGGAGCTGGGCCTGTTCAGCCTAGAGAAGAGAGGGGTCTGGGGTGGTCTGATTAATATGCATAAGTATCTGAAGGGAGGGTGTCAAGAGGATGGGGCCAGACTCTTCTTGGAGGTGCCAGGAGACAGATAAGAGGAAACGGACATAAACAAAAAACACAGGAAGTTCCACCTGAACATGAGGTAGAACTTTGAGGGTGACCGAGCACTGGAATAGGTTGCCTAGAGAAGTTGTGAAGTCTCCTCCAGAGATACTCAAGAGCTGTCTGGACACAGTCTTGAGTAATGTGCTCTAGGTGACCCTGCTTGAGCAGGGAGGTTGGACTAGACCTCTGGTGGTCTCTTCCAACCTCAGCCATTCTGTGATTTTCTTTACATCATTTATGCTTTTGAAATTTTAAACCTGAAGAACATTATTTCGCAGTGGAGGGAAGAAATCAGTATGTGTGCACATATATAAATATTTATGAAAAAAATATATATATATATTCAACTACATTATAACAGGGAGAAGTCAGAAGTTACAAGAACTATTAAAAAAACCCTTCAGTTACAACTAACAAAGATGTAAACAGACATATCTTAATAAAAATTAAATGCTAACATATACCTTGTCAGGCTGAGTAAAGTATCTGGCTGGAAGTACCGGGTCTTTAGGGGATTCCAAACTGTACGTTGTACTCTTTGACATAATGATATTCATTGCTACATCACAGACTGTGTATAGTTTCTGTAAATAATAAAAATATATAAAAGGAAGAAACAACATTTTAGAAGTTGATTGCAAATCTTGACAACAGACAGTATATTTTAAGCACAGAACTACAAGAAGTCACAGTTCAAAAGCAATCATCTTCAACATTTAACAATAGCCTGCACCTTAAACTGGGTATCGCAGGGTATTAAAATACAGGAGCAAAAGACAAAAGCAACAACTGTAGGTGCAGCAGCTGAAGAGACCTAGCTTTCATGATCCTTCTACACTTAAGAACAGTGTATGCCATGGTTTCAAAGACAAAGCTAAAAACAGAAACCCAAAAATCTCACCTCTGTGGGAAAAGCAGAAAAGTGACAAATCTGTACATTTCTGTGATGCAAAAACCTCAAAAAACATCAGTGTTTGATACATGCACTACACGATACACACTGGAGACATCTAATGTATGTATTTTTCTTCCTCTACTTAGCTTACTCTTCACACTTTTAAAATTAGTTATTACAAAGCACTTTAGTGATGATTTAAACAGTAAGAATTATAGTTTACATGTATTTTAATGTTAAATAATCTTACTGAGACATAAATGGGACTGTGAACTATTACATGCAAGATCTACTGAAGCATAGGAAAATAACTGTCATCTAAACTACAATAAATATACACATTACAGTACATAAGGTGTACTGTAAAGTGCACATAAAGTGTGTGGGAAATTGTATTTCCCACATACAATTCTATCAAAAGACATTTTTGGGTTAGTGTCAAACCAAAAAGCAATTCATTTCCAGAAGCAGGCCAGAATTAAATGCAATTTCCAATCAGAAAGAATCACCTACTTCATTCATTTTTGGATCATCTGGTCCTTGAGCATCCTTAGTCTGCTTGATATTTTCTACCATTTTTCGTATAAACGCGTGACTGTTGTTTTCATTTTTAGCCATCAGTATTTCCAGTATGAACCACAGGCACCTAAAGGAGAAATGCAGTACTCCTCATGAATGAAAATACAAAAGAAATTCTCTTAACGAGCACATTTGAGAAAGTGGTGTACTCCAGGTATTACCAGTATGACTAATTTGAACCAGTCTAACTCTGGGAAACCAATTCTTTCAAAAATAAATAAAAAAGAAGAAATGAAAGTAGAATGAGCAGAAGGTGAAGGTTCCTCTGTAAAATATCACAGAGCACTAAAAATGCACACAGACTATTTCTCACAGTATTTTACAGAAATAACTGCCATTATGTGCACTGCACAGTATCAGGGTATGACAATGAATCAAAATTTCACTTAGAGTAAGGTCACATTGGTTTTAACACTAGAAATACCATTATTAAAAGCAGTCTTACTCTTTAATGTCCTTGAGTTGTTCAATGTCCTGGACTTTGACATAATCTGGGTCATGAGCTAGGAGATGGATGGTGTAAGGAACAACATATTCTGGTAGAAGTGACAACAGTTTCTCTGAAAAGCAGAAGAAATATGCATCAAAAGACTACATACTGAGAAATACGCTTTTCTGCTAGAGAGGAAAGAGCAAAATTTAGAGTCAGCATACATTTAGATATAGGCACAGGTGGGCCTATCATTTCGTTAAGATGTTGCATCTCATGGTTGATGTGCAGATGTTTCATGCATGCAAAAATTAAGATTTAAAACATCTCTCACTCAGGGCTGCATATTTTCTAGCTACCTTGAGAATACAGCTACAGTCACATCCCACTCCCAATCTTTTCCTCAGTTCAAAGCCTGTATTCTGAAAGACTTTGAAAAACAGAACTGAGGACAGATCACAAAATCCATGTTAACTGCAAGACATGAGACCAGCACAGCTGCAGGATAAACTCTGTCCTTCCTTTGGACACTGCAGTGCACAGCCTTGTTGTCAACAGAAAGAAATGCCCTTTGTGGGGGCTTTGCAGTCATTCTCCAAACCCACAGCCTACCATATCTGTTTAAAGAAGGGAGAGGAGGTAACATGAAAGCTGAAACAGAGTAGTATTGGACTGAGTTTTAAAGGCCCAATCCCACTTGAACAGACCAGCACAACTGAACCAAGACATTCAAAGGTTTCAAAACTTCTTCTGAGACTTGTAAATAGTCCTAAGCAAGGACTGCAGGAGAATGCCTCCCCTACATCACGACAGCCAGATGGCCTATTTTTCTTGGGTATTCAAAAAGTAAGGATTGTTGCCAAAGCCCCTCTCAGAGTTACAAACACAAAATATGCATTCCATAAGGTAACCAACAAATTCCTGAGCTAACCGACACTATGCACAATGACCTTCAGCACCTCAAAGTCTTATGACAAAAAAAAGATTAAAAAAGGACGTATCCCAATGGGCAAGGACAACAAAAAGCATTTTGCAAAATAACAGCTGCACTCCTTTCCTTAGCCTAATGACTGAGAGGAACTGGAGGATGCCCAGCACACCTAAGTTATTAAACCTGTACCCTGTGTGACAGGCAGGATGACAGGCAAGGAAGGCATGCTAGTGTATTACTATGGTATAAGCATCTGGCTTTGAATGCTTCTGGCAAAATCAAATTCATAGTATTAACATGACTACATGTACATTCAAATGTTTATCCACAAATGAAGGAGGGAAATCCCTGGCTCTGCTTTTGAAAAATCGCATTTCTAAGTTAGTGATTGGTCATGAAAGCCATGACCAAGTCTGGGAAATTTTCTTTCAGTAAGCTTTTAACTATCCCACATTAGGTTATGAATAAGAATTCCAAACATCTGTAAACCATTATATATAATATTTGAAACTATTTTATAACACATTAGAACACTGATTTTTTTATCTCCCATATATACATCTGTATAAGATGTGCTTGACACATACTGTGCACATCAGATAAAATACATCATTATCGTAGATTTCAGAAGACTGATTAAAGAATTTCCATGAAGAAGTCAAATCTTAATCTATCCCAGTCTTAAAGGTTTGCATAGACAGGGAAAATGCACAGGCTACATCAAATATTTGGATTCATTCATAACAGCAAGGGAAGCATGCTAAATTAATAAAGACTCTCAGAAGACAGCGCTGTCAAACTCCAGAGGTAAACTTCTAGACAGCCACTGCAGTTGATGCAGTTAATTATCCACAGTAATTATCAGACAGACTGTGAGCTATCATAAGGTTTGAAAAAATCAAATCACCAAATTTCTATTTCAAGCTATATTTATGTAACTGAAACCCAGCATATATCACAAAGCAGGTTTTAATGCGTTTCAGTTGACACTGCACTATTAAGCTTAAAAACATCCTTTGCTCTTCATGCGCTGTCCTGCATTTTAGCCAGCAGCTGTTTGCGTAACTACATTAAAAAATATAAAGATGTGTCAGGGAAGAAAAAGAATGTATCTATGATTTCAGAACACTGACAAAACTGGCTTGCCTGAGACATGTCCCAGGCAAACCAGCCTGCTATAATTTGTATTAATTAACTTCAATAGAATGCTCATCGAGAGCTCATGAACTCAGTGTTTCATTAACTTCCTGCATTGTACTATTTTACAATAACTATAGTAATAATTCCAACTTGGTCTGGAAAACAAAGTGAACCAGATCCAGGCAAAACGGGAAAAGGGCAAAAATTGACAGATTATATTTAACCCCTGTCATGACAAAAAATGGCATTTACACAATCTTTCCTCATCTTTAATGAGGAACAACATAACCCAAAAGCTGGGCTGCCTTTATGGACATGAACTACCAGCACTTCAAATCAGAATGTGCCAAACCCCTCGTGACAGGCCTTTATGAGCATTTAGGAAAGAAACATGTTAAAAATAAAAAATAAAAAAAACCCCCAAAAAACAAAAACCAACAACAACAAAAAATCAGTATTTACTCATGTAATTTCTCCACTTACTGACTTGCAAGTGCAACCTGAGACGTGTCTATCTATGAACAGATACACAATCAAATTAAATCTGATCTTAAGTTCTCTAAATGCTATTCAGAGTGGAAGCCACTTAAGAGGCCTGAGAGCAACTCCTGCCAGACTGCAAAAGGTCAGTGTACAGGAAAGAATCACTTTACTGTTGGGTACAAGTCCCTAGGAAGTTCTCCTTAGGCAAGGTATACAGAAGTTTACCATCTTTTCAACAAATGCTGAAATCCCCCAAAACATCTGAAAGGTATCTAAGGTTTTTTTTTAAAAAAAAAAAAAAAATCACAAAACCCACATTTATAGAGTCAGAAAAATAGCTGCACTAATCAAGAGATTAAGATTCTCAGTTCTAATGTTTTGTGGAAGCTTTTCAAAGGAGGTGCTATCATCATTACCGCCCTGAGTTACTGTATGGCCAGTAGTGAGAATGATAGAGGGAGACATAAACGCATTTAAATAGTATGATCTTACCAGAACTGAGCTTCAGCTGTACTACTGCAGTAATGATTTAAGATGCAAACAGTTCAAGATATTTGTTAAAAACTCAGACTGCTATTCTTAATGTCACAAAGTTAACATTGTAATCCTCAAAAAATCCTGCAATCTACATTTAATCCAGGCTCCTCATGTATCAGAGTATTTATCAGATCAATGGCATCACTCAAGGTAAGTCTTTCAGCAAGAAAAAAAAGTCATCAGGCACAATTGGATATCATGCTGGATAAAAAGGATCACACCCCCCCAGGCTCCTCTCCATTTCTTCTACAGATTTTTTTATAGTAACTTTACAGCATCTATCTTAAGTCAAGTTAGGAAATAAGAAATTACTTTTAATCCTATGAGAATTTTATACTTTCCTACTACACAGCTAAAAAGAGTTTTCAGCTTCCAAGAGGAATAGTCTTAGGATGATGTAAAAGTGTTTGCGTAATGGATTTTTCTTTTTTCCATGTAATTCAGGAGGGAGAAAGGCAGTGCTGTTTTTCCTTTCTTTTTTTAAGTCTAATTAACAACACATGAAAGGATTTCTCTGCAGGCTTATTCTCTGACCAAAGTCTAAGGAACACACAGACTGACATGACCAATATAAAGTCTGTGATTCATAAATGCAGAAGGAAATCAGTTATCTGACAGCATTTGTGAGATCAGATTCAGAGCACAGGTCTGGTCTATCATAAGATAAAATGAAAAAATCCACTCCGTTTCACAAATGCGAAACCATCAGCAATCTTTCAAAGAAATAAAACTTTCAAAAGCTCTCACTCAAAATGCCCATAGCTCTTCATAAAGATCTGCTTTTTCCTATGACCAGTGTGGCGTTAAGTCAAAAGGGAAAAAGACTGGTTTTATAAAAGAAAAATAGCTAACATTCGTCCATAATAACTTACAAAGCATTCCCACAGTCAAACTGCTGGTACTGGGAAGAAAGCATCACATAAACTCATCCTGAAGTTCCTACAAATATAGCCCTTTGCCAGCATAAGACAAGAAGCTACTCAGCATAGCAGCACAAAGACAGTCAATTTAGTACAGCATTTATGTCACTAAGGTTGCATATTATTAATTACCAAGGTAAAACTAATCATTGTTGCTTCACTTACAACATAATTAACCATTAAGTTCAAACAGTACACTTGCCTCAAGAAACTGCTTCACTTCCACTACAGTTAGGCATGAGCATTTGCACAGCTTGTAACAAAACTGAAAGATCTCAGAAATACCTGTTAAAATACTCGAAATCTGGACACTATTTGCAGTTTTCATTAGCTACCTCTAACAGAAATTTACAGCCATTTTATGTATAAAACCAGAAAACTATCAATACTTCTGCGGTCTACTCACAATTACATTTGAACTATAGCACTTGTACCAAAAAGTGACTTCTGTTCTCTTACCGCTAACTGCTGCATGTTGCTTCAGATATTCCCTTCTGACATTTATGTTCTTCACAAGGCACTGCCTAGCATGAGCTCTTCTCTCTTTCACAGGATCTTTTGCACACAGTGCACAAATAGCCATATATTCTAGTGGCAGCCGTAGTCTAGAAAGGCCTTTATGGAGTTTCTGAGCAAATATTTGTCTCACTTGGTAACATTCATCCTGTTAAAAAAAAAAACAAACCAAACCAAAACAAAAAAAAAAAAGGCAAAAAAAAGGTAACAGTAAACTTTTCTAAAAGTAACATGGACTATGAAATAAAACATGGAAGCCTGGGTAAATATGCCAAAATCAATTTCAGACCTTGCAGCCACAGAAACGTAAGAACTATAAGAGTGTTTTTTAATGCCAATTCAGAGCAATTAAATTAAATTAATCAGTTGAAGCTTCCCTTGGGATCAGGAGAAGAGTTAAGGTTCAGAAACTGTACAGAAAGATACCACACTCAGGACACAAGGTCTAACTTAGTATAGTATTGAGGCATGGAGTTAATGTAATTGTATACAATGGGACCACTTGCTTCATGGAGCAGAAGTCAAATATGTCCACCAAAAGAGTGTTTAGCCACCAGTAACCTCTGTGTTGATTTTATTACTACAATTTCACAAATCTTCATCAAGCCATTAATATGAGAAACTGAATCAAATTCAACAGAATTACCAGATAAGATAAAGTCAAACGCTGAAGAGAGTATCAAGCATTTCCATCATACTGTGGAAATCTATGAACTATGACTGACCACCCGTGTCTAATAGGTGCCAAATAACACAAAGGAAAATAACATGAAGGCACCAAATGCACTTCTACAATTTTTTTAGTATATTTCCCAAAAATATATGAACTTTAACATTCTCTGTATGGAAAATAACCTACGTATTTTAAGACACCATTCAATATAACACAAAACAATTCAGTAACACAGGCAAAGAGAGGTTAACAGAAGCAGGTGTGGAAAACAGTTAGAAGCAAATGTACAGAAAAGCATAAGGTAAGCAAGGCCACCAGAACAGCCTAGCCTACTTAACCTGTCTAAAAAAAGGTCAAGAGGAAAGACTTGTTATCTCTAAATGTGAAGAAAGAAACATTAACAGGAATAAACAGCTATTTTAATCAAATGATGGCTTTGAAGCCAGGAAGAATTGAAAAGGGTTTCCAGATATCAGCCAACAGGAAGTGCAGAGACAAAATCTAGCCACTGGTGACACTGACTGTGCTAAATTTGCAAACGGCATCAAGACAGATCATATAGTACATTAAACAAGCCTCCATCTCCCACCACCCGCAAATTAAATCTAGAAGAAATTAACTAAGCCCCATTTTCCCTTCTTTGCTTCAAGCCATAGTCTTCCTCTCTGGGCTGAAACACCTGTTATGGAGTTGAAGCAACCCAAGACCACAAGCACAAACTGTGAGACCTATTCAAGATCTATTGCCTCTTTCCAGAAAAGCCAGCAGGCCAAGATACAGTCCTCTGCTGCTCAGAAATACTACCTAAGTCTAAAGCCTTTGGAAAGTTTAGAAGAGACCTGTGCTTAGTTGGTATATGGACAAGGAAGCATGTCCTCCTTGACTCAGAGGACAAAGGAAGGCATAGTTCATTGTTACTGATGGTGGTGTGTTACACAAAGGGGAATGATTATTACTCTCAATAATCAAAGATAAAGAAATAACCTTTAATTCAACTCAGTTACACTAGTTCACTGAAAAGAAGGGGGACAAAACTCCATTAAGGTCTACATTTTCACACCATACAAACAAAACACATACATTACACCAATTCCATGTATCTACCTCTCTGAATTTAGTGCCATTTCATCAGAAGTTCACCATTTAAAAGCATTTAAGAAAAAACTTGAAGAGCAGCAGGTAGTCTTCAGACACAACTGTGACTCTTGACTACAGCAATTAGCAACAACACTTAATTATGTATTCTGCACTCTAATCATTTCACAATACAAAATGGCACTCTCAGAGAAAAAAGAAATAGCCAGCACAGGACCACAGCAGAACATGTGCAACCACTACAGACCTTAAAAATTAAGCTTTTCCTTTTCTTTAATCTGCTTCCTGATCTGTCCAGTTGAAAGAAAATTTGCTGTAAATTAAATTACATAATACTAGAGTTGGCTTTGACATCACTTTAATGTCCTAATTTGTGAGTAGACCCAACAGTGTTAAGAATAAATACATTTTTAAAATAATCAGTGTCTACCATCAAGAAATGGATTCTAATACTAAACATTCTAAGCATAAACAAATGTGTTATGTATGTATTATGTATACATGCAAATATTTCAAAACAACCCCAGAAGGTTTCCAAAGGAGATTAATACAGTGCCGCAAGTGCAAAAGTCACTGAAACCATTACAGTTACTCTGCATCTGAAGATCCAAAAGAGAGAAAGGAACCTGCAGAAGGCCTCAAAAAGATATAAAGTTATGAATAAATATTCAAAATCCATTAGGAGCTACAGTGAAAAATAAAGGCAGAATTCTGTCCTGACAGAGCTTACAGAGTAAACAAGATGAAGTCACAAAAGGTAAAGGAGTAACAATAAGTGAGGAGAAAAAGTGACAAAAGTCATATTAAAGTAGAACAAATTCTCCTGGAAGCTATGTCAGGGCATATGGATACCTACAGGAAAGCAGTTACAGATGGCCATCAAGGCTTCAGGAAAGACAAATGACACCTAAGTAATCTTGTACCTTTTTATAATGGAGTCACAGGAAGAGCAACTGATGACATCTATCTGAAGTTCTATGGGGCCTTTGACACAATCTCATTCTTGTCTCTAAATTGGAGAGACATAGGTTACATAGATGGAGTATTTGATGGATAAGAAATCGGCTGGATTCACACCCAAAGAATTGCGTTCAAATACTCAAAGTCCAAATGGAGATCAGTAAGAAGTGGTGTCCCTCAGGGGTCAATGTTGGGACCGGTACTGTTCAGTATCTTTGTTAAGGACACAGATAGCAAGCTTGAGCAAGTCTGTGGATGACACCAAGCCAACGGGTGCAGTTGACACACTGAAGGACAGGGATGCCATCCAGAGGGACCTTGACAAGCTTGAGGCGTGGTCCCATGTGAAACCATGAAGTTCAAAAAGGTCAAATTCAAGGCCCTGCACCTGGCTTGGATTAATCCTCTGTATCAAAATGGATGGATGGCTGGTTGGATGAATAGATGGATGGATGGATTGAGAGCAACTCTGCAGAGGAAGACTTCAGGACACTGGCAGATGAAAAATTGGACATGAGCCAGTAACGCACACTTGCAGCCCAGAAAGCCATGAAAAGGGTCATCATAGAAAGAAATGTGGCCAGCAGCTTGCAGGAGCTGATTCTCCCCTTCTACCCTGCTCTCATGAGACTCCCACCTGGCATCCTGAGCCTAGCTCTGAGGTGCATATTACAAGACAAACATGGAGCTGTTAGAACAGGTCCAGAGGAGGGCCATGAAAACTGCCAGAGGGATGGCACACCCCTCCTTTGAGGAAAGGCTGCAAGTTGAGCTTGTTCAGCCAAGAAAGGAAAAAGCTCCAGGGAAACCTATTGCGACCTTTCAGTATATGAAGGTCTTACAAGTGACTTGTAAGAAAAACAGAGAAAGACTTTTTATCAGTGTCTGTAGTGACAGGACACAGGGCAACAGTTTCAAAATGAAATAGTGCAGGTTTAGACCAGACATAAGGAAGATGTGTTTTACAGTAAGGGTGGCAGGACATTGGGACAGGTTACCCAGAGAAGCTGTGACTGCCCCATGCCTGGAAGTGTTCAAGTCCAGGCTGGATGGGGCTTTGAGCTCCTGATTTAGTGGAAGATGTCCCTGACCAAAGCAGGGCAGTTTAAACGAGATGATCTTTAGAGGTCCCTTACAATTCAAACTATTCTACATTTCTACAGTAAAATGCAATACTAACTGTTTATAAACGTTGTTGACCCTATTATGTTCTTGTAATAAAAAGCTCATCTCTCAACATTCACTTTTGAAAATAGAGGGGAGGTAAGCATTAGACCCAAATATAGCAAAAAACAACACCCCCCCACCAAAAAAAAGCCCAACAAAAATACCCCACCCAAAAAAAAAAAGCCCCACCACATCTGTTATCAATATCCACAGAGAGTTGAGACCAATACAGCTGGAAAATAAGAAATGAAAAATGAAGTGGTAGACAGTGATGAAATGGAGGGCAAGGAGTTTGCACCAAACATATTAAAAAGAGAGTCAAAGCCATGAAGGCAAATTCCGACAGAGGACAACATTTACAATAAACAAAAATATGCCATAGAAGGAAAATGACTGAAGAAATGAAAACATTTTGATCACTGGGATCAGAAGAAAACAGAACATGGAAAAACTATACTGGCAAGTCTACTGTGCCATGACATTATCTGGCTAGAGTATTGCTTCCGGAACAGAGACAGATCTTATTTGTCATTAGAGTAAGCGTCTCTTTTCCTCTCTACTAATTTTGTTCAAAATTGTAAAAATCTTTAAAACTCATTTTCACACAAGACTAGCAGTTCTATTAGGTTTTGGAACAGGAACACCAAAAAGTCCTCATTTTGGGTGTAAAAATTTTCAGTTATTACCACTGAATTTCTGCTGCAGTTTTGTTAGATTTCATCTGCTTAAGTAATTTTGTTTTGTTCCATTTCCCTTGTATTTCATAGCATTTGGGAACTGAGTAAAAGCTCCCTTCCAGAGGAAGACAGAACCTTAAAATCCACATAAACATTGTTAAAACAATATACAAGCATAATACAGACTGTGTTACTCTGATATATGAATAGTTTTTCTAGCCTAACTAATTTAACATGGGTTACAGGTTTTAAAGCTTTAGCCAGGCACAGGACTTAAGGTCTAAAATGGAGCATAATTATTACTAAAGGTATGTTCTAGAAGAGATTCCTTCCAGAGGATTTTTTCACTTTTGTGAGGTCATGAGAATACCAGCAGTTACAAAAGTAATACCAATATGAGCCCCTCCATAATTGCCTTACTCTTGGCGTGTGGATCAATTTCTGTAGAATTTCTTAAATCTACGAGACAGGAAAACAGAGGATCTCTATATCTCTGCTTACAATTCGGAAGTTATTTTCTTTCTGCTACTATAGGCTCACAGGCAGAAATTAAGGATGAAAATTGCAACACCTACTGAGAAATCTCTCCCTATCTCTTCTAATATTTAAAGGATGCCAACTATCATTGCAGACCTCTGCATTCCAAGTATATTCTACCCAAGTATTCAAGTAACGAAGGTCACTGTTGTCACCACAGCCCAAAGTACTTTTTATCATCTCATTTCAACTTCTAAAAATGTATTAATGCAGCTGGGGTATTTTAAATCAATACTGAATTCCTTGGTTTATCAATATTCTAACATTTCACTACTTTAAGTTAGCATTCCCTCACTGGACAGCCTAGAAGTATAGATCTAATTCTCATCCAAAATCAGTTTTCAGGAGTATGTAGTGGGAAAATGAATAAATTCAAGCCAAGACTGAACAGTTTGCATAAAATGAGATTAGCAGAAGTATACGCAGCATACAGAACAAGCAACATACATACTCATACATATGCTGATAACCCACAACTCCCACCTAATTTCCTTACATTTATGGCTAGTGCACACAGCTGGTACTGTTCTAAGGTGATGATTTCATGGTAACAAGGTTCTTGTGCCAACTTCACAATAGCATTCCCTGCAGCCAGCCGCAACCGAGACATATCAGGTTTACTGAAAAATAAGCACATGGATTATGAAGATTAATAAGTAAGAAAATATGTAATTATTTGACTTAATTAAATCTCAATAAATCTGTATTGCTGAAAACCAGATACTCTAAAAAGAAGGAAAAGTGTCCATGGACTTTGCCACCCACACCCCCACAAATCCACAGCAGAAGTAACTTCAAACCAGAAGTAGTTCTCATGGCACCACGTTTTACAGTCTGTTACCACATACCTATTACCTTGCCCCCACTTAGCAATGAAAATATTCCTTGGAACTTCCTAAAAATTCCACATGTGCATGAAACAGATTTAGCTGTGAACTGGACCAGCACAGTCCAAATTGCCCCTCAGAGATCTCATTTAGCCTGTGAGATAGTTCTATTCAGCATGCTGATTTTCCTTCAGCAGCAGGCTCCTGTCGAAGTAGTAGCCCATTTCCAGTCCCCAGAGTTGCCAAAGTTTTTCTCGAAATGAAAGCACAAGTAGTGATAGGACAAGGGGGAATGGCTTTAAACTGGAAGAGCGTAGATATGGATTAGATACTAGGAAGAAATTTTTTACTATGAGGGTCATGAGACACTGGCACAGGTTGCCCAGTGAAGCTGTAGCTACTCCATCCCTGACAGTGTTCAAAACCAGGCTGGATGGAGCTTTGAGCAATTTGGTCTAGTGGAAGTTGCCCCTGCCCATGGCAGGGGGGTTGGAACTAGATTGTCCTTAAGGTCCCTTCCAACTCAAGCCATTGTAGGATCCTATGAATAACAACTCAAAATCGATGCTGCAAGTCAACTTTAATTAAGATTAATCAGATATTATGATAGGTGATTAAGTGAAAATAACAGCAAAAGAGAATTAGGCAAGTGAAAAAGTTTTCAACATGCTGAAGGAAATGTTACTTGACCTACACACCTAAATTGCACTTCCGCCTAGCAAAACACTGAAACTCTTTGCTAAGTTTCATATAAAAAGATGAATGAGTTTTTCTGTAACCTTTGTAAATACAGTTGTAGGTTATCAGAATATCAAAAGCATCTTCACCAGAGCTTTGCAAACTGATACCCACTTGATGTGTGCATTAATAAACTCAGTTGAGGTTTCACTGTTCACAAGTTATTTCGAAGTACATTACTTTGTCCTTTCTTCAGATCAAACACAAAAGAATTAGTAAGTTTTATGCATCTTTCTTAAAACACTAATGAATTCTATTCAGCAGTAGTAAGTACAGCTTTTTCCTTGGATAACCTGAAGAAGGAATCAAGTTGTATTCTTATTTAGAAATAATTATTCATTTAAGCAGGACAAATACTGTTTAACTTCTTAATCATTTGCCTTTTATCCTTAGGAAGAACAAACACTGTAGTCTTAAATCCATTATTGTGGAAAACTGTATAAAGCAGTTAAAGAATTCAATAAAAGAATATTATTAAACAAAGAGTACATGATAAAAATACTAAAGAGGTTAAGTCTTAAAATTCTTCTAATCAGGTTTTATACACACCTCATGGTATGGAAACCACAGCAAAACCAAACACCAAAAAACCAAATAGCAACCAAGTGGCAGGAAAAAGGTGCACTAACTTTCAAACAAGGCATGAAGATTAACATGGTAATGCCTAGTTTTTAGATTTCAGTAAATTTCACTTTAAAAAGAATCTAATGTGATAAGTGAACCCAGTGAAGTTTTTGCACTCCAGTGACAACTGAGCAGTAACAACTTACAAGCACAGAGTGATTTAACTAAAGGAAGGATAAAATTAAGAACTTTCAATCTTCCTCAGCTTTAGTAGTGATAACATTTAATTCTGAAAATTGAATCAAAGATATTTCACACAAAAGTTGGCCAAATTTTGCAGAGTATGTGTGTCACAGAAATAACCACAAGCATGTGGGAAGGAAGAAGACAGTGACAGTTGTTAACAATCTTACAGCTGATGATGAAACTTCATCAGCTGTCTTATTCCCCAAACGGGTATCTTGGAAGAAACTCTTAAGTGAGAATTTATTTTCTGTCAAACTGTTATAGCCAAAAGCTTTCTAATCTGCTATCGATCCCAAACCACACAATTATTAGGGCTGAAATAAAAGCTTCTGCATGATAAAATTACAACTTTTGATTACTTCTAATGATTCTGAAAATTGGTAACAAGGATGCCCTTGTCTTTCAAAATAATCCAGAACTGGAGTTAACGTTTTTTCTTCTACACCAGAGGATAAATGTCTGTGTCCAGTTTTCTAAGCATTTTCAATGTTCCATTTTGTTCCATGGAATAAAGAAGTGTCTTTTGACAACCTCCGAGAACACTGCCTATCAGACGGTGTAGCAAATTATCTACAGCACAGAACTATGAAGTTCTAAACGACATGTTTTTAAGCAAGCTTCAGTGTAAGGAAAATGCAGATAGCATTTCAGAAAAATGTTGATTCAGTTTCATATCCAATATCAATACTTCCAGCAACAGCTAGTGTTCTCTGATACTCAAATACTCTTACTTTAGGCTTATTATAGATAAAATTAAAATCCTACTACGAAGACATGCAAGATTCAACTAAGTTTCACCTAACCACAAATAAAACAATCTGTATAATCTTGAATTTCAAATTTGTAGGACTGTTTATGACTTATAAGATGAAAAATAAAGACCTGTAAAGGACAGTTGAGATATTGTTTATTGAAATATATGAGCATTAAAGCATCTGACACTGGTGAATTTAACCTACACATGCTAACACCTCAAAGCAACCAGTTATTGTCTCAAAAGAAATTCAACAGTCATCAATCTTACCAGTTCAAAATGAGAGTACAGATTTGTTTCTTTGTTTTCCAAGTAGGACCTTGCTTTTACCTGACACTCTAGGCTGAAATTTAAAAATCCCATTCCCTTACACTGTGACTGAGAAGTACAGTTGTGTATATTTAAAGAGGCATAGAGACAGAATAATTTTTATGCCTGATGAGCACAGTAACACCAAAATTATTATAACACAACTAAGAACACACATGAAGTGAAATGCTTCCTGAACCCTGCCACTTGCAGTGAACTCAATTATCTTTAGCAAATTATACATTGTTTAAAAGACAAATGTAAGTCACAAACAAAAACTGACTCTATCTAGAACGACATCAGATCAAGTACAGTTTAAAAGATTACGTACTATACTCAACAGACAATTTTACTTTCCAAAGACTACTCTAATTTGGAAAGGGCAGTGTCAGATTTGTATAGTAGGAACACAGTAAGTACTGCAAGAAAGATGATATCCTCATTGTGTTCTCGAAGGGTGAAGAATAAAGGTCAGGAAGTGTCAACAAGATACCAGGAAGCTCCACACAGAACTAATGTGCCTGAAATGTCATCTCTGCTTCAGAGGTGTTACCATAGGTGGTATAGGTCACACACAGACAATGGAGACTTACCCTCCTTGCATCCTAGAGCCCTTCCCAAATGCAATGTGGAAATCACAGAATAGTTTATTTGGAAGGGACTTCTAGAGGTCATCTAGCCAAACCCCTCTCCACAAGCATGGTCACCTAGAGCAGGCTGCCCAGGACAGCTGGATTTTTAGTATGGATTTTTAGTATCTTCAGGGATGGAAACTCCACCACTTCTTTATACAACCTGTGCCAGTGCTCAGGCCAGTCTTGCTAGTAAAGACTGAGGTAAAGGTATCTCAGTGTTTTCCATATTCCTGTCACCAGAGCTCCTGCGTTGTTCAGCAGCAGGTATACGTTTTCCATAGTCTTCCTTTTACACCTACTTAAAAAAGCTCTTCTAGTTGCCTTTGTAACCCCTCACTAGATTCAATTCCAGACAATTGGGCTTTGGTTTTCCTACCCAACTCTCAGATGGTGTTTTCTGTACTCCTGACAGGTTACCTGTCCCTACTTCTCCTTTCTGTATGATTGATAGTTCATAGAAGAGTTTGGGTTGGAAGGGACCTTTAAAGGTCATCTAGTCCAACTCCCCTGCAATAAGCAGGGACTACTTCAACTAGATCAGGCTGCTCAAAGCCCTGACAAACCTCATCTTGAATGTGAGGTTTCCAGTGATGGGGCATCTACCACTGCTCTGGAGAACCTGTTCCAGTGTCTCACCACCCTCATTGTAAAACGTGTCTTCCTTAAGTCTAGTCTATATCTAAACTGTTAGTTTAAAACCATTATCCCTTTTCCTACTGCAACAGGCCCTATTAAAAAGTCGGTCCCCATTGTTCTTATGAACCTCCTTTAAGTACTGGAATGCTGCAAGAGCCTTCTCCTCTCTGGACTTAACAAGCACAACCATCTCAGTCTTTCTTCAGAGCAGCCATGTTCCATCATACTGATCATTTCTGCTGCCCTCCTCTGGACCTGCTCAGGTCCATGTCTTTCCTGTACAAAGGACTACAGAGCTAAGCATAGTACTCCAGCTGGGGTCTCAAGAGAGTGGAGTAGGGGGGAGAATCACCTCCCTTGATCTTATCCAATGGGACTCCACTAAGCAGAAACTTGAAAGAGGCCCAAGTCTGTTCCCCTCAAGCACTATGATCTTGCCTTTTGCCTTCCCTGCTGCCCTCAGGATTCTGAACTCCACCATCTTACTCCTGTTACAGACAAGGCTGCCTTCAGCCTTCACACCCCCAACAAGTCCCTCCACTGTTGGCGAGTATGAAGTCCACCAGAGCACCTGGCCTTACTGGCTCCTCTATCACCTGTGTCACAAAGTTTTCATTGATGCTCTGCAGTAAGCACCTAGATTGTTTATGTGTCGCTGTGTTGTTCCTCCAGTAGATATTGGAGTAGATGAAGTACGCCATGAGGGCCAAGGCCTGCAGGCATGAAGCTGTTTCTGGCTGTTTACAGAAGGCCTCATCCACTTCCTCTTCATGGCCAGGAGGGCTATAGCAGACACTCACTACAGTGTCACCTGTACCAGTCTTCTCTTTAATCCTAACCCATAAACTCTTCAGTTGGCTTATCATCCACCCCTAGGCAGAGTTCCAAGTTCTTGGGTTGAAAGGTTGCCTTTAACACAGAGTGACCTCATGTCATTGCAGCTTTCTCCCTCCCCTGAGAGTATTGCGAGCCCTCCACTAACTTAAATCATGGAGCACTGACCACTTTATTATGTACAGTTTGTATTATTATTTGTAGTTTTGAGTACAAAAAGAGTGGGGAAAATTAAATTCCTAAAACATGCACAGTAAGTAATCATCACTCCAAGCATCAAAACACACAAGACCTACATAACTGATTGATTCTGGATAAGCCAACAATATGGTCTGAGCAGTTATGCTGAAAAGCTAAATTACTATCGCTTATCTCCGTAGTAACTGCTATGAATGGTTGTATTACAGAATTCAAAACTATGAAACAGTTACTTTCAAGGAACTTTAAGATAAAGACTACACAGTTACTGCAAAGATAACACACTAGACAATTCTCAGGTTTGCAATTTTGTGCACACAATGTAGGTTCTACCTGCATAATCACTGTGTAACCCTACCCCAAAATTAAAACCTTATTACTTAAACTGGCACAATCCATGCAAGCCATTAATGGCTTTTATAGACATGAATTTTCAGTATTTGGCAAGCAATAGCGGCTGACAACTTGTCACTTCTCCTACCGCAGAGGATTAAGAAGATACCCAGAAAAACAAATAAATTGCTTGACAAATCATCTAAAAGGTAAATTATTTATTGAGACTTAATCCTCTTTACACATTTTCCTCTTGTTTTCACTTTTAGAGGCCTCAAGGGATTAAAGTCTGCCTTCAAGCAAACTGCCTTATTCCCACCTGGTTTAGTGCAACATGCTATTATCTTTCTATTAGAAAGGCCATCTATTGGCCTTTGGCATATACAACAATTGTACATCAGGAAGAGTAAGCTGCATAAAAAATTAAACCCAATTTTCATTATGAAAGAGGAGGTTACACAGTTTATTCTTGCAATACCAGTAATGGTCCTTTGAAGGGATAAAACAAAGATGATAAAAACACTAACATACAGCTATATCTAGTGTTAAAAAAACTGAGACTCCACAAACTTATGTAAGCATCCAGCCAAGCTTACTGTCAGTCCTTATGAAATAAGATGTATGAATCATTAAGCAGTCTAATAGAATAGTTTAAGTACTACTTCAACTAAAACTCTCCCCACTGCATCACCACAAACATCAACCGTTACCATCTGTTACATACCTAATTTTCCCCTGCTCTGTTAAATCACCATCACTGTGCAATATTGTTGTTAGCAACCTCAGAGTAGAAGTTCCTGACTTGCTATGGTTGTTCTTCATTCCTAGCAACCACCGAACCATCATCTTGATGGCCTGAATCTGCAAAAACAAACAAACAAAAAATTGATAGGCAAAAGTCAAATCACACAATGAGCCTCATTTATTTTAATAATCTTTATCTTAATTTAATCACACAGTATCTGCCAAATGCTTTTTGATGCTATGAACATAAACCTGTCAAGGCTGTAAAACATCATTTGAATACTGAAAAATATACTAGACATACTCTTCCTAGACAGCAACATTTTACTCAAAGTCTCAAGCACTTATTACAGCAAACAAAAATCATACAACATTTAGCTAAGGTTTGAACTGTTTCTTCTACTATGCAATCACATATTTTGTCCTGTGAAAACATATTATCCCAATTGAGCTTACATCCATGAAACACTGTGGAATAGGTAAAACAGTCTATACTTACCAAGAAAATGTTACTGGATCAAGAAGCAGAAGTCATTTTCATTTTCCTATATTCCTATAATTCCTGTACTTAAACAATCCCTATATATTCTTTATTTATATATGAAATATTTGAGTTTAAGACATGTAAATTAAAAAACACTTCACAGACATTTTGACTGTTAGAGTATCAAACTGTATTAAGATAACTTGTTCTAGAAGAGAATTTTTCTTTCATGGCTATTTAAAGAAAAGCCTCAAAGTGTGTTACTTAGGATAACTTGTCTTTTGCCAATGGAAACATCAAGTGTTTTGAGGCAAGCTTCTAAAAGTATGCAGAATCCAGCAGATATCAAGAACACTGAATAATTTCACATTTCTTTAGTGAAAATAAAGCATGATTTTTAAGATTAGTTTGGTTTAGTATTTGAATCACTCTGTCCTTTCATTTTCCTTCTGTATGAGAGCAGAGACAATAAGAGGACTATCCTCCTACAGCAAAATGAAAATGCTAATCACATAGGCAGCCTTGGGGAAGAAGAAAAACAAACCAAAACCCAAGCTTTAGACAATCCAAGATACTTTTTGTACACAGTAACTTCAAATTTTCTCCCTGATGGGAAAGTCAGTTCTAATACCTTTTATATAAACATTCACAATATCACCAAATTAAATTCATCATACGGTTGATCTATTCCACATATCGAACTGACCACAATGGTCCCTTCAGACCTAAGTTCTATGATTGCCATCTATACCGGAGTTTATTTTTTTAGCACCATAGTCCATTTACTCCACCTACAGAACTGTAATTCTGTTGGGTAACACCAGCAACAAGTAGGATGTCTGTCACTCCAGATCTCAAAATGTGAACAGCGTTTGTGGAACAGAAATGAAATTGTCTTGCCCTAGCTTTTGAAGAGTCTTCCACTGAAACAACTGTTAAGTATCCGCCAGAAGATTTTAACAGTGGTAAAACCAATGTAATAATAGCCATAAAACCAATGTAGTAGTAATAGTAGTGATAATAGCAGCAGCAGATCTTCTGTCAGCTTACCAATTAAAGTCTCCTCATGCTGTAACCAGTACCTGTAACCGTTAGTGCCTCCCACTTACTGGGAGGATGGAAATACGCCAACTCTATTTGGTCTTCAAGAACAGCCACATGCTATTTTGTGCCCTACCATCTCTGGTCAGCTCCTCAGCAATTTCAGTTTTAACCTTTGCTTCTTTTCCCATCTCTTCTCCGCTATTTCCTTCTCCTAATTTTACTGTTCAAATCTATCCTAGTCTTCCTTCCATACAGGAAGTGCTAATCCAACTCCTTCAGAATTTTGGTCTAACACCACTATGTTCCCTGTTTCTTTGCTGGTGTTACTGATGTGATGACATTCCAGCAAGCTTTCAGAAGTAAGCATTCCCATGAAATTAGCACAGAGCATGAGAATTCCCCCAGTCACTGCTTCTGGCTACCTGAAAACTTAAACACAGTCTGAGTTTGCACTGCCCTCATGTTTTTGGGTTTTTTTTTCTCTTTGCAGCCAAATAGGATAAACTATCAATGGATAATTCCAGTTGGAAGGAGTGTCAGGAGGTCTCCAGTCCAACCTCCTGCTCAAAGGAAGGTCAGCTTTGAAGTCGGACCACCTTGGTCTCTGTTTTGTCCATTGAGGTGTTCAAAGACTCCAGGAATGGAGGCTGCACAGGCTCTCTTGGCAACCTGCGACCTCTTGCAACCTGCTGCATTGCCTAACTCTTCTCAGGTTTTTCCTTATATCCAATCTGATCCTCTTGTTTCAATTTGTGTACCATGAGCCTACAATCCTCCTCTGAGATTAAAAATTATTATACACTAGACGAAAATATAAAGTCAAAATACAATATGGGTCAGAACCGTATCGAAGGCCATAAAACACTGCTTTATACTCAGCAGCACAACATAAACAACAAATATTTGAAGTGCAAGCACAAGTGATAAAAAGGTATCATTTATTAGAGAATAACATGACAGATCTTTGATTAGTTATGAGAAAACTGCAACTATTATTAATTTTAATATTAAAATTAACAATTAAAAATAATCAACAAGTAGTTATAACGCTTTTCTCTGATCTAGAGGTTAGTCATGCTTCCACTGTAAAAGTACAACGGGCTTCCATCCCATGTAGTGATCCTAGAAACACTATCTTCCTACATCAACATTATGACACAACAGGTAGCTCAGGTTTCTACTACTTGAGTTTTCAGAGCCACAAATGCTACAGGTTTGTGCAGAAGTGAAAAATGAAAGAATGCCCATTTAGAAAAATAGGATGAGAAACTTTACATTGCTGCGTACATCAGAGGAAACAAGAAATATCACTGCTACTACATAAGTCTTAATCCACTGCAGGATACAGAGGAGTATTTAGGACTGGTCACTACCAAGAGATTAGTGCTTTAGAGCAGACGTAAGTGTCAGGCATAGGAACTCAAGACTAGCTCATACAATAATTAATCCAATTCATATTTAACACTGTACTGAGACAGTTCTCTACAGACATTTCATTTAAGGTTTAGCATCCAAAACTAAGGGTAGGTGTAGTTAACTACATGTGTTAAGCTGGACAATACTAAAGTCTTGTCTTTATCAGTCCTTCCCCCTTTCATACTTAAACTTGCTAGTTTTAAGATCCCCATTAGATATACAGATATGTTACAAAGGGAGAAAGAGGCTTTTAAAACCAGAGTGAAGAAAAATAGACTGTCAGAGAGAAATCATTTACAAACTAATGGTGTGGCCTGCAGTGTTCATTAAATATAGGCCTCTCAGTGGCAATAAATGCCGATTAAATTTTCAAATCAATGTTCACAATAACCTGTTTTCACTTGCCAATAAATGCTCCTTACAGTTTTCAGGCTTGGCTTCAACTTTGAATTGCCTGAAGATTTTCTATAAACCAATTCCCTTCCAAACAGCCAATTGTCAGAAAAGTTTTATCAACATAAAAGAGTATTTTAGAGCAATATAACAGCTTCACGAACCATTAAAAAATTAACAAAAACAATATTTACTGCTTCAAGTTACACATATAATCACTGAAGTGAAATCACGTCTATTTTAAACTAGCAGTTCATGAAATCAAAACAAACATGCATGCTTTCAACAGTTCTTGGAGTGTACTGTGTAACTATGGAGTTGCACAAATACAAAAAATATCCTTGCTCTAGTCAAACCAATTAAAAGCTAACAAATAAACTCTAAACACAACTGAGCACTTCCAGTAAGAGTTCAGCACCAAGCTGGAAACAAAAGCACTTGTTAAAAAAGCAGAGAAGGAGGTATGCTACAAAGAGCGTAACTTAACAGAGAAGACAACTTTTGAGTAAAGCTGCTCTGATGATTTAAAAAGGCATTGGAAATTAAATGACTGCTACACTTAACTTAGAAACAGCATGCTATGAAGCACATGCATCTTATTAATTGTGAAAGAAAATGCAAAAGCACAATCTATCCTTGTTCTGAAGAAAGAGCACTTAAAATGCAAATAAAGACATAGGATATATTTTCTACAGGGTAAGTCTATTTCTGATTGAGTGAAAAATTGAGTGAGAATATCTATTACCAAGTCCAGAAAATGTAATAATAAACTTATTCCAAAAAGTAATAAGCTTGAGATGACATTTTGAAGTGAAAAAACCCAACAAAATCCCCACTGTTTTAAAGCTAGGTTTGTTGGTTTGTGGTTTGGGTTTTGTCTTTTCTCTCTCCTTAAATCTTGTTGTTTTTCTGGTACACATTGTACACACAGAAAAGCAATTTAACACATTTCTTCATTTGAGGAAACTGACAAATCCAAACCAAATTTTTACTTTATTTCAAAACAGCAGTGAAAGTTTCTTGGAATAGCCTAAAAATTTGAAATAAAAAGGAAGACTTTAAACAAAGTCTCCATGGTATTTAATTCTTATGTGAAACAGAAGGGAAATATATTCGTATATTAACTGTGATAACATCTGAAATACTGCTGCACACCAAACCTAAGCCTATAACAGGCTATAACAAAAATTCAATAAAGTATATATGTAAATTTATTTACAAAAGCAAAAAAGTACACGATCCCAAAAGCAAATCCTTCTGACAACCCAAAAACATGTGTTCTAGTAAGACACTTAATCTAAAAATAGTTATTTCTTTTTTTGCTTTTAGAAATGGGACAAGCAGAGAAAAGCAGCTGACAGCTTTAAGAATCCAGAATTCTTTTAAGAATTATTATTGTGTATTACTGCTATTATTACACAATAATAACAAAATATAGTAACTGCTACTTACTTTAACAAGTGTTTCAGGAGACACTTCTTCATCTGGGACCCAAAGTTTTGTTGTCTTTTTCCCTGGAAGCTAAAACAATTGTTACATTTTGTTACGTTGACATTACTCTTTGGTGAAACCTGATGTAACCTCTTTCCTTTTTGCTTCTGAAATCAATACTGCAGCACCCACTGGTTAGCTTTATGCCTTCTGCCTTTTATAGAAGCAACGATTATGGAAGTGAGATACTGTTCTTACCTCACAGTTCAAGTATCAGCAAATTTGACAGCAGTAGAGGGGGTTTTACTGTTGTTACCTGAAAACTATTGCTTTTGAGTGTAATAGTCATTGCTTTCAAATTAATTTTCAGTTTCCATATGCAGTAGATTGGAACCTCAAGAGCATAGTTTTAGACAGTAAATCTTTCCCTAAACAATGGCTGACAATGCACAAGTACTTTTTTCCCCACTTTATAACCACAATCAATACAGAAGTATTAGAAAAACTAAAATTTACAGTCTTCTAATTAGACAGCATATTTTAGTTTCAAACATGTTATACTTCCTAAAAAAAATAAATAAAAAAAAAAATCACAACTTGCTTGCTCAAGACAAAGGACTAAGTGAGTGAAGTCAATGCCAATTTTCCCCATTTTTTACAAAAGGCAAATCATGAGTGATTAAATGCTGTGCTATATAGCTTGTCACATTTGTAAGGAAGGACTACAAAATTAGTACTACCTTCTTTCCTGTACTGTGGTGTTTCAGTTCAGTCAAACAGTACACATGGACATCTACCACCATATCCAAATGCAGAATCAACAAGCCAAAAATTTTTGTAAGTATTTGCTGAGTGTCATACTACAGGAGAAGCAGAATCTTAACAAGAGGTTTTAAAAATACTTACCCTATCATTCATTAGCAAATCTTTAACAATAAAAGTGGCAACCAAAGATTTCAAAGGGGCAGCAAATTGATCAGGTGCTAGCATGGCTATGTGGCCGATAGTAACCAATGGCGTGATGAGATGCTCAAAATTGCTTGGATCCAGACTTTTATGCAGTGGCTAGAACAAAGGCAACATATTCAGGTATTACTGATATAAGCTGTGTCTTATTGAGGAGAGGGGGTTTGGAGTTCTGTACTAAGTTGTCCATCAGTATTTATTTTTCAGAAATATAATTTTTAAATAACTACTATTTTGATTTAAAGACACATTCACCAACACTACAAGTTTCCTACATATCAAAAGAAAAATCACAAAGAACGACAAACTGTTTGTCACATCTGCATAGTTCAAAAGCGTCAGCTCAGGTAGGGCTGTTCAGAAAACAATGTGTATTTTCTTGTTGAAGAAGTGATCTCAAGATCACAATTTCAGCGAAGGACTATGATTCAGCCTTCAAGACAAGCAGCTGATGCGCACTAATTAAAAAGTACATTTGCAGTTATAACTTTAAAATCTATTTAAACAGTCTCTATCGTAATTCAGTTTTCCTTTATTTCTATAACCATCTAAATACTTTGGGCCAGTCCCAACAAGGACAAGGAATGGTGTATGGCTCCTCTTCCCTTAGAGTTCATGGTTCTAGCAGGCAGTCCAACACTTTGTTTTACTCTATCATCTGTTAAAATACATAACCCTAAACATGATGAATCATGGGATACAAAACCCCCCTCAACTACCATATTTCAGGACAAACTGAAGAGAACAAAGGGAAAGGGGAAAAATATCTTTTGTAAATTTGATACAACTTGCCATATAGATTGCCACTACCCCCCTTAGTTTACATTTGCAATATAAAAGATTAAGAAAAACTAACTTAAATAATTTTTATTTACCTCAAATATCTGTGCAAACTGTGTTTCTTTGCTGGAAAATATTGCATGGATGCAATGAATAGCGTACTTGGCTTGACGAGGGGGTCCCTTTTTAGCTTTATGATGCAACACTGGAAGCAAAGCTCTTAAAAAAAAAAAAAAAGAAATACTTTTTCACAAATTGAAAATCTTCAAAATATCAAACTAGCGAAAAAGTACAGATACACATACAAAGACTATAACACCTCTGCAAAAGTGCTAATTGTCCTGGTTTTGGCAAGTTCTTTAAAGGAAGAAATGGCTTGCAAGTAAAAGCCCCTGGCCTTTACTGATAAAATATCATGTGCTAAAAAGAAATATTTTATCTGTACAAGTTACTAAATACTCTTTTGGAAATACTCTTGTCTACACATCCCCATTAAGTTGCAAAGAATGGTTTTACATTGCCATATATTTAATTTATTAAAAAAAAACCCCCATATGTAATTCTGAAGGGCAATGATAAAAATTATAGTAGTACCAGAGACGTATCAGCTGTTCACTTTGGATATACTCATTTCACTTCCATTGTTCAAAAAGCATCACACTTTAAAGTCACTCAAAATTGTTTTCCTGTTTTACCTGAAGTAATACTTTCTTCCAAAAGAACGCCGGATAATGCTATAGCATGCAAAGGGAAGAAAGAGAGCTTCCAAAAACCCATCAAGAACACTACTCAAAGTAAGATAGAAAACTTACGATCGTATATGAGGAAAATCTTCTTCAATTTTACTTCCTGTGTTCTTGAAAATTTGTAATGCAGCTTCTGCCACTTTTTCATCATCCATTTTCAAGCAAGCCAGGAGAGATTCAAAAGTTTCAGCTGAATGAAATGAGATAGGGTGCGTAAATGAAAGTACCTGCCAAAATAAGATGAAAGCCATGTTAATATTTTTTTAAAGGTCCACTTACATAGAACATTCCATCAAGAGTAATTTTCCACTGCCACACTGCAATATTTATAATATGCTGCCTGGTTTTGTCACATGATCCACATTTCTCTTTTCCTGACTTTTGGTGTTGGTTTTTTTTTTTTTAGTACCTCCGGAACTTCTTTGTCTTTATACATGATCTCATCAGTTTCAGTTTAATTCTTCAGTCTCAATTTCTTCTCCTGTTATTGTGAACATGCACTTCTCAGTGGCTACATCTACATTAGCAAGTACTGGCTTTACAGCAGAAGCAGATCTTAAGAGAAACAACTGATACTAAGGAAGCAACATTCACATTTCAGGGACTTTACTTCAGAGTATTTCTAGACAGACTTGAACCAACTTTAGCCATTGCAACACAACATGTGCTTCTGAAGCCCATCTCATAGGTTTCTCGAAAAAGAATCCAGCTTTTGTGTTCCCAGACTCCATGCTTGTTTGCTAAGTGGAATAACTGGTTGCACTCAGAATTGAAGTTCCTATCTCTAAAATAGTAATACAGACATACCCAATAGGGTCTCTAGTCTCCCAAGCTTTATACAGCAGCTTATCAGGTCTTATACCTCTCCTTCAGATTCTTGGACTCTGTTTTCAAATATGACAGTCCTCCCACGTTTAAAAAAAGAAAGTAAAAATCCTCTCTTGATCCTGCCTGAAAGTTTGCCTTCTCTTCATTTGTAAGTGGCTGTTGATTACTAGCCTCTTCCATACCATATTCTGACCCACGGCAAAGAAACAATCCTCAAAATCTTGGAACTTCTTCACACTCAGTTTTCCTTTTTCACCAAGTTACCTTCCTCCCCACTTCATTGAATGGCATTTCCTTTTCTGGACTCCTGCGTTTGTCCTTTCTGGATTCTTCTCATGATGTACAGATCACCTTCCTCAGGGCAATCTCACTCCTCTTCCTTGAACATGTCATGCTAGTTCATATGAGTATTTAAAGTACTGACCTGTAAGCCTTCTTTCAAATATATAGTCCTTTCTGACGTGATTAATTCCTACTCAGATTCATTTTTGTGCTACTGGCTTTTTTACACTTTTACTAAACATGCACACCTGGTTAGAGTCACATGCTCTCAGATGAACCTACTAGGCTCTTAGCTGATCTAAGATACTCTGAAAACTTCAGTATGGGAGTCCTTTAGATTTTGAGGCCTCTGAACTCAACCCACACCTGGACCACTCCCAACAAAAAACATGTAACTGAGGTGGTACTACAGCGTAAGTACCTTTTCTGTTCAAGTACAGGCAAAGCTGACACTACACTGTACTCTTCACCTAACGTCTTTGAGAGAGACTAAGTGGAACAAAAAGCCCTACGTAATGGCATTTTAAAAGTTTCATGCATATAACAGTGTTTGTAAATAACAGTGATCAGTCCTTCTATTTTGTCCTAGAAAAAAGGGAGAACAGAATAAGAAATTCTGTGCAGTGTCCCCACAAGCACATCTTTATGGGGTTTCCTACGTTAACTGAGTCTCCAAGTTTATACAGAGTTGAAATAGGCAAGACACAAATTTATGAGGAACTACTAGGAACCACAGTATGATACTTATATACAAGTACAGTTCCAAAAGTATTATAACTATATTAAAAAGCAACTGAATTAACACTCTAATAATAAAAAATCAGCCACTGATGTCACACACACAACTACTTTTGACTTCCAGAAAAAACTTCTAAATTATTTATAAAATAACTTTACTCATGTGCCATGTAAGATGAGCATAGAGAACAAATCCCAAACCAGTATTCTTTCAGACAGCCAACCCCATGCTTATGGCTAAAGATACTGGGTGTCAATTAAAAGTTTATTTAACGAAGTCGCTTCAGAAAGTTTTACATGCTCACTGACCACCAGGAGTATACTTGCCTTAAGCAATTCAAGACCTGCCCTGATTGCCTGGTCAGTAGGTACACCCTCATCTTCATCATCAGCTGTTCCATCTATAGACTTGTTTACTTGCTTGATAAGGGCACTGAAGAAGAAAACAAAGTATGGCTTTGTATTTACTGCAATCCACTGTGTATGACGGTTTTCATAAGATATAATCTTAATAATGGAATTTATTTAAAACTTAAAACATAAGCTTGTTATAAAACAAATGTGTCAACTACGTACATAACCTGGTTACCCTCATCTCCTATCTAATTCGAAGTTTATGAAGCATTAAGTTAAAAAACATCCATCATGAATAAGATGAAAGAACCATCAACAAATTTTTCCAGAAGGATGATCAAAATAAGAAATCAATACGAGCACCACAAGCAACAAATTCAGGTAAGAATTATGGTGAGGCTACTAGCTGCTATGGATTCTTACAAATAAATGGAAAATAACTGTTTACAATGTTTAGTATACAATCCAGAGGGGAAAAAAAAAACCCAAAAAACCATTAGACAGCTTTACTAAGAGTTGATGAAATATCTAAAAGACCTATTTTCTGCATATTTCACCTTGACAGTAATGCTTCATTTTCTCCTTACACTGTACCCTAGTAAATGATTATTGAAATGATCCTATTAGTGCATGGTGTAGGCAGCTTCCCTATCATGAACTGAACAATATTCAGAATATTCTTTCAGTACATCCTGTAAATTATATTTATAGCAAAAAAAATCCCCAAACCAAACAGCCCCAAATGAAAATAAAATAAGAAAACCCCAACTGGTAGCAAATCAAGGGCAAGACCTCCTAGCCAGACTTCCCACACTTCACTTTTTTTCCCTGCCCCTAATTGGACAAAAATGACCACATAATAAAAACAAAAACACCCCACAAAAACCAAACAAACAAAACCCTGAAACCTCCAAAACCAAAACTCACACACACACCCACCCTCCCACCCCCCAATAAACAGTGACTTTCAAAAATGAAGTGAGAGTTTAGTGAAATTTTACAAAGATGCAAGAAAACCAATTCTGTGGTGAAACTGAAAATATGGACTTTTTACTACTTTTTTTTTTTGCTTGTATACTGTAAGGCAGTCAGTAGGTAGACGGAAATAAATACTACAACTTAGTGCCACATCTGAATCTTACTTTAAATATACATTTTGTATTACTTCTGTGAATGTGAAAAATGTATTTTCAAATTTAAAGTAAAAATCCACCTACACATTGTACTTGATCCAAGATCAGAAACAGATTAAATGAAATCTGAACAGCTCCACTACATTACGTATGTAACAGGCAGAAACTGAAAAGCTCAAGTACTTAAGAGTCAAGTACTATAGTTGGAATTAACAGATAAGAATTTACCAGTATTTAGAATTACCTGCCTCTAATAAGGTACCACATATCTCAAAATACAGCTGTTAAATAATCATTTCAGCAATTACATTTTTCCCCTTCCATAATTTAACTGGCTTACTTTTCTTTAAAGTCTTGATGCCTCATCACCATAATCCCTACTTCCTCAGTTAAATTACTGTTTAGATCACACTATGAGCTAATATTCCATGTGGAAAACTTCAGTGAATAGCCATGGACAGAAATTTCCTTTAAAATCAGTCAATGACTCACAAACCAAACTTCGCCCATCAGCAACGGATCCATTTTTACTGACAGGTTGACATGGCTGTGTTGAATGACAATTTAATTGTTTTTATGGCTACATTCTGAACTAGGACACAAAAACCTCTAAGCGAGGGGAAACAGAAGAAAATACGGCAGTTTACCAGGTATTAAACCGTACCTCCCAGTCCATTACTGCTTAAAGGCAAAATAAGAAACCCTGATTTCAAACCCTGCAATCTATGGCCAACACACACACAAAAATACCTGATGGATTCGGTATCAATGTGCACAGGAGCAATTCTCTCAAGAAGAAACTTTATCATTTCCAGGAAAGGATTTGTTGGTTGTTTTGGATTGCCCAGCTTCTTTGTTATTTCCCTCTGCAATACAAGTTTCAATTAAATTTATAATCAATTCAGTTCCAAAAATATTTACATATTTTAAGAGCAATTCTTACCACACATCCTTCAGCCTGTTTGCAAGAACATGTTGGGCTAACAAGCATTTCTAACTGACTTCTTATTTTTTCATCATCTTCTAGAACTTGTGTGAACTTTTTCATGAAATCTTGAGCTTTCCCTGGATCAGGAAGGTTTCCTTTAAATAAGCAAAAGGAAGCACTGTTTATTTTAAGAAGTATGAAGTATCAGTATTGTAAATTACACAAGTTTGCAATGTTACACCAATAAAGTTTCTTTGTGTGCTTAAGTTAACAAAAGAGATGGGGGGAGGGAAGAGGGGTAAACAACCAAACACCACAAAACAAGCACAAGACCCAAACCACAAAACACTAATTATGCTGATACATCTACGAGGACACCAATTTCTAAAAATGTGTATATCCACAGACCTCCCCATGCTATTTCCTTTCCTCAGCCTTCATACTCATTTTGCAGCAAGTCTAGTTATTCTTGTTAATAACATTAACAGCTGAAGTTGACCTCAGAATGCAAGGTCTGTAACTGTACAAAAAAATATACTCTGTATATAGCTCCCCTGATATGACAGGTGTGGAACAACATTAAAAGGGTATTTTTGCTAAATTACTCCTCCAGTAAGTTTAAGCTGTACAGCAGCTTATAACACTAAAAAAAAAAAAACCCAAAACTTTTAAAATGCATGTCTTAAACTACATATTAATATTAGCATTAGGCAAACTTGACACAGAAAATAGAATAGGACTACAGGATAGTTCAAAACAAGTTCTACTAAGTATTTCTTTCATTGTATTTGTTTTGGTTTTTTTTAATGCGACCCAGAATTAAAAGCTGTAGAAAAATTACAAACTTAACTTTTATAATAGTGAACAAAAGGAAAAAAGGATTTGGAACATGGCCAATCAGGTGATAAGATTCAGGTTTTCCTTCACATTTTTACAAAAATGCACATAGCCTTAAGCAGTACCAGTTTTTGCCAGAAAAGTTGACTTTTGTTGTTTTGTTGGGTTTTTTTTTAATAAAAAGGTTGATTTAAAAACAAAGTTTCAGAACTGTAAAGCACGTTTTTCTTCTTTGTACTGGTTTTAATGCAATTGGCATGATGGGCAAGGGGGAACAAGACGTGTTCCTCTGGGGTTGGTGGTTTTTTCTTTGCTGAGAATTCAGATTACATAGAAGTTCTTCAGTTTCCAAAGTGTCCTCCCTGCTACTGAATCCCAAATTCTTTTGTGCTCTCCCAACAGCACTCACAATGCCAACACCTCGAAGAGAGGTAAGTTAGTAGATATTTTGGTAGAGATAGTAGAGATTTTGAATTAATCCACAACAGATACAGCCAAAATGTCATGTGACAAGCTTCACGAGTGGAGACTTTTTTTACAGTAAGGAAGTAATCCTGCCTACCATTGTCTTAATTCTTTAAAGCATATTGTTACATCATGTTTATCATGATTTGTTATTTTTTTATCTGTTACAGAACTTTTTAATAAGCTTATCTCAAATAATATTTAAAGCAAGAAAGCAATATAGTTAAACTGTAATTTTAAAACTGTAAGTATTTCAACTTACTTGTTATAACCATCACTTTTGAGAATATAGCTTTACTGCTGGCATCTGTCTGTAAGTCACAAAAGAAAAATGGATTAAGTAAAAATTTTACATTATATATTGCCACTTGGATACTGAGCAAGCAAAATACCACAATGCATTATCAACAAGTCAGCACCCATTTTGCTAACACATCAGTGTGTTAGAAATCAAAACTACTACTGCAAAGTTAATGCCAGACAGTTACATTAAGTAAAACACAGGTCACGCCTACAGTATCACTGTCTCAGATACTTATGTAAAAGATATTTATTACTTTTCAATCTACTATATTACTTATGAACAGCATAAACAGGTTATTTCTGTAGCTGTTTTCCAACTAAAGCCTCTTTGGTTTTCAAATATAAAATGGACAGCAAGCATTAAATTCACTTTGTCTTCTTGTTCGGGTATTGATTCTAAGTAGTCTTGGTAGTAGTCCCCAGCTTAATGTAAAGAACAGAGCAAGTCAACAATAAGGCTCCTGCTACTGTTCAGCTGAACAGGGAAGACGGTAACTGTGAAAGTAACAATCACAGACCATAACAGCCAAATGAATGACAACATAACTGCATTTCAAGATATTTGTGAAGCTTAGATTTCAGTGAAACTGTTACTGATATAAAGTCATTGTCATGTCCCAGTCATCCAACAGCACCTTACAAGCAAAATAAGTTATGCAAACAGACTTTTTATTTTATTTATTTTCCTTCTGTCAGTAATTCTTCTGGTACAGGATTTCAAATTCCACACACAAAGTCCACCTTAACAGTTAGTTCTAGCACTAAGTGAAAGATGAAAAAGAGGATACAACAGATTTCACAACCAGGTGAAACTACACAGCAAGTGTATTTTCTTTATGAGACTATATTTCTAACAACATACTGCCTGCTACGGCAGTAGGCAGCCTACTTCCCAAGACACTTTACCCCACTTTTAGCTGTAATCCACATTATTCTACATACTAGGAAGCTTTATGAAATTACACTGAAGTTTGAAATATTGAGGAATTATCAGTAAAAACACCAAAGAGAATCCTTAATTGTACTGTGAAGATAAACACCCAAATCATCTTCAGAAGAGCATTCTAAAGTGGACAAAAGAATTAAAAAACATTGAAATCTTTCACTACTGTGCAATAAGTGTTATTCAACAACTGTGAAATCTTCATAACTAAAATGAAAATTGGAACCTGAAAGAAGATTCAAGCTTACAGCAATGTTGCCAAAAGCATATAGACCCATCAGCTTCCAAATCATAAAGGAAGCTGCTTTATTGTCAACTGACTTTTGACAGATCAACTTCAGTGACATAACTTACAAAGTCTGCAAAACTTCATAAACACATGTAAATAGTACCAATTATGGGCTACAACTATCAAATTATATTCTTCTGAGAAGATTTAAATAGGAACACTACCACAATATTAGCTTTCACTGAAGATTATTTAAGAAGATTATTTACCCACCACCATTGCTAAGGGATAGTAAACAAACCTAAAGATTACTAACAAGGAAATGTCAAATCAACTCAGTAAGGAGGCTCACCATAGAAAAAGCTCTTCTTAACAAAGTACTTAACATGAGGCAAATGAAGACCTACAGGGGACCTTTTCACCAGGTTCATCAGAAAGAATGGCTAAGAGGTAGCATTGCAAGACACGTTTATTATAAAAACTTCAAGACACCGGTCAAAGTCTTGTTCAGGTACATCTCATTTCTTGGCATTTTATTAATGAAATCTGTATATAGATGTCAAGGTTCAAACAAGCCATATCAACGCTGGAGATAAAATGACAATTTATTACAATGACCTCGGCTAATACACAGAAGTGTCCGTTTCATAGAATGGTTTGGGTTGGAAGGGACCTTAAAGATCATATAGTTCAAACCCCCTGCCATGGGCACAGACACCTCCCAGTAGACCAGGTCCTTCAGCTTTTCATAGTAAACTTCTGTTCTCTAGAACAGAATTCCCTAGATATTGTAAAAGAAAACAGGATTTTGAGTTCTAACAAATTTGCACAGCATTTTTTGTCATTAAGGATGTTAATTAGCAAATTTGTGGAAAACATGGCAATGCTTGAGAAAAGTGGCAACCTATCTAACAAAAATATAGCATGAGATTAAGGCAAGCAATGTTTTTAGTGAACGTCTTCTTTTATCTTGTGACATGGACACTTTGCACATAATTCTAGTCATTAAGTATTTCTGCAGAACTTTTTGTAACTTTTTAGTGTTGGAAGAATGCTGTCATTTTCAGGGCTTCTGGCTGTCACAGCTGAACAGGCATGTTCAGACAAGAAATGAAGGAAAAAACCAAGCCAAACCAAAACCCCAAAACAGAAATAAAACCTGGTTTACAGGATTTAAATAATTATGTCAATGGATACAGAATCTGCATATTCGCACCTCTTACAATTCAGAAGAAAAATACCAAAACTGTACTATGGGGTTTCTTTGTTTCTGACTGGTTTGGTCTTCCAATACAGGCTATGTCTTCAAGTACTGGCTAAAGCTCCCATTAAAACAGACCTGAAGTTAAGCAAACTGCTAATCATCAAATGAAATAACCTGAGTCCAAAGTATTTTTTTAACTTCTAGTAGTATTACTCCACTGGGTAATGACAGATTGAAGACGATCAAGAAACATTTCTTTTTAAAAGATCTACTGTGGTACTTTATCTACATTATCTTGCATTCACGATATTGCATTAATCTGCAGCAAATAAAAGCTTAATACTCCAATACTGATAAATCAGCATTCACCCACTTTTCCTCATGTGAACAGGCAAGTTAATGTATTTTCTTTAACTGTATACCATTGCTGTAGGAGAAAACAAGACGAGTTATGATTTATGCTTTTGCTCTTTAAAAAAGTAACTCATTTTAAAGGCAAGTTTGATGTCTGCTCTGTCTCAGAGGAGGAGAAGTTACGATCAACAGAAATCTAAAGTTACTCAAGTAATTTTCAGTCTTCTCAATAGTGCTTACACTGGAAAGACCCTGAAGACGAAAAAGGAGAATGCCCTAAGTATTTCACTAAACAGCAGAAAGATTTTCTAAGATGAGACAAACAGTGGACTGGAAAGTTCAAAGACTTATAGTCACAGAATAAAATAGGTTGGAAGCAACAACTGTAGGTCACCAGGTTGAACTGCCTACTCAAAGCTGGGCCAACTTAGATGAGCTTTTGCTCCAAGACTCATCTAGTATTTAAATATTTACAAGGATGAAGATTCCACAACCTGTCTGGGCTATTTGCTGCCATATTTGATCACCCTTACTGCAATTTTTTTTCCTTACTGCCTAATCAAAGTTTCCCTGTGGCAACTTCCGTGCACTGCTTCTTGTCCTCTTCATCTCAGAGTTCTCACAATGTCTACACTTGCTACAGTGACAAGATCTACAGGAGAACAAATCAGCAATTAAGCTATAATGATCAAGTGGAAAAAAAAAGAAAAATCAGACTGAAGTCAAAAAGCACATACAGTAACACCAAGTCATATTCTAAAAGATTACTAGTTTGTTTCAGTTTTGTTTTCTGGAAAAAAACAGCTTCTACAGCTCTGAATGGCTAATGGATATTCGTCTTGAGATTATTACTGCCTTGGACTATATGTTACTTCAGTCACGATTATGAAAACACACTCTTACAGTCATTTAATTCTATGAATTAACTATCAATTTGGAGAAAACACACAAAACCACCAAAACACAAACCATACAAGGAGCATCACAAGTAAAAGGTTTGTTAAAAATAGCTAAGCATCTGCATTAGGTGTAAAGGCAGGGTTTAAGGTAACAACGGGCTGCTGGGGTGACCTGTTAGGGAGGAGGTTAGGGACTGCCCTGTGACTGCCAAAGCTGCTTCCAGCAGCTCCACAACCGACAAACCAAACCAATGCAACCAGTGAGAGGAGCCTACAGTGCCTCTGCGAAAACACGTTTAAGAGAGGAGACACTGGAGAAAATACAGCTGTAAAGGGACTGTGACTGGTGGAAGAATCCCTGCTGGAGCAGTGGGTAAGAAATAAGGAGCAACAGAAGGAAACGAACCACCACACCTGATGCCCCTATCTCGTGTGCTGCTATCACGTCACTGAAGGGACTGAGCAATGTGTGCAGTGAGGGGCCTGGAGACTGCAAAGTAGGGAAGAGAAGCACCCAAAGGGCAACCAAAGGCTGTTTCTGTAAGTGTTTGGGTTTTTTAGCTCAATACCAGAATAAATAAAAAGCTTGTGTTAATAGACAATAAACTAAGTAAAATTCTCTCATTCAGAACCACTTTGTTGCCCATGACAGCATCTCAGACTATCTCAAGCCCCCTACATTCTCCCATGCAGTCCTGTTACTCGAAAGAATATTACAGTGTAGAGAATTAGTCCTTAACAGCAAAAGATAAGATGAAAGCCACATGGACAAATGCAGACATGTCAACAGCATAACACCAGTTTGAATGCAATGCTTTCAAAATATTTTCTGTCATTAAAAATAAGCTTGAGATTGTAAAACAAATGGAAATAAAAAACTGTAGGTTAAACATAAATTGAACTTACTTTGGGTTGTTTTATCAGGTCAACTAAATCCTTTACTTGATGTCGTAGTAGATTTTGACATTTCCACATTTCATTCAATGCTCTAAAATAAATAAATAAATTTAAAAAGAGTTGTCAAAATCACAAACTCGATAAAGAACACAACTGACCAAGAAGAGCCCTTAAATTCTTTTCAACTCCAGTCTCAGAAACGTGCTTATCACCTGAACTCTCGCTGCTGTGTAAGCAAAGGTTAAATGTTTCCTAATGGCATGACATGGTCACATTAGACTGGAACATAGCAAGATTTTGAAACAAGTTTCATTCAGATACTTAACTACACAGCCTTTAAAAGAAGTAGGAAGCAACTGATATCTGGCCCATAAAGAAGTCATTTGTACAAGCATGAAATCACTCTTCTAAAAACATTCCAAAAAGCAGGTTAACACGGATGTTTATCATCAAAACTATGTTTTTCTTGCACACAGAAAGCAGCTACTAGATGAATAAATTCTGGGAAGTGGACATGATTGGACTTGTAAGAGATACATTAGAGATGCTTGACGAAATCGAAAATTAGCACATTTTCCAGGAAAAATAAGTCATATAAATAATAAAAAGTCACAGATTCACTTAAAAAACTTCCACAAGCCACAGTCAGTCAGTTCTATGTCACTAACTGAACATACTGTGTCATTAAAGTGAGTACTGCTGCACATGAAAGTTGTAGAATTCTGAAGTTATTTGTTAACTAAAATAACAAGTACTTAAAGGAATCCATTCTGCATTTCTCTTTAGCTTATACTGAAATTTACTGGAACAGTAACTTCTTTTTTTTAATGTACTATTCTTAATATTAGTTTGTTACAGTTGTAATATCTTTAAACAGGCAACATGAGAAATGCAGGGGACTCAAAAATCACTTTCTGTAGCATTTGAATGCTGTGAGGTTTTTTTAAGCCATTCTTTCACATACAAAGCTTTTTCTAGTCTCCCTCATGGGGAAAAAAATACAAAACAAACCAAACTAAACTATATTTGATTTTCAAGTGACTAAGTACTAGTAAATGAAAAACAAATCTAAAATTACTAAATTGAAACTGAGCATTACAGCAGCAAAATTAGTCAATTTCATGCATATGTACCTATTTTAAGCTGGAGAAGGCACATAACAATTTTAAGTAAAATGCATATTGAAGGAGGAAAGGCAAACAAGTAATTCTTTCCCACTCTTAAGTCATCCTGGCTGTTATTAATTGAGAAGCTGTCAGACCTAGGGCTAATCAATGCTATTATCTATGCTATCTCTTTTCAGACATAAAAAGACTGACATGCAGTCAAGCTATTTTTGGTTAAAAGGTACCACACATTGTTGGAAAACACCCTATTAGTTTGGGGTTATGTTTGGGTTTCATTTTTGGGGTTTGGGTTCTTTTTTCCCCTCCACAATCCTATCTGAAAAATAGATACTATTGCTACAATCTGTTTTCTCATAGTTCATAAAATACTTTTGTCCACCAGCTTAAGCTACTTGTAACAATTGAGAACTAATTAACAATAATGTCTGCATTAAAAAAATATTTTGCAGAAGTTAAAAATAGCACGTACTTTACAGCATTTGAATCCAATGTTGCATAAAGGTAATACAAACATTTCATTCGTTCATTTGTTTCCAAGTTGTGAGGGACCATATACTGAGCAAAGATGCGTTCAACAAGTAACCTGAAAGACAGGATTAGGAAATTTAAACTGTAAAGGAAAACAGCAGTCTTGAATTGCAAAACATTCATTCAGAAGTTCCCAGACCTATTTAGAGGTCAACTGTTGCATATAAAGATGCAGTTATTCAAAAACGTCTAGGTCAAGAAACTTAACTTCCAATATAACTTAGCATAAGCCAAACAAAACTTTAACATTACATCTTCTGCAACAATACTATTAGCAGTAGGGCATTTCAGGGATGACATAATCAAAGTCAAGTGTATTATTCTAGACAGGAACCAAAGGATGTCTCTGAATAATCAGCTCAGAGATGTCATCCGTGAATTTCATTACAGGTCGGTATTGAGAAAAATTCAAGAATTGATGTAAATTAATGGGCCTAAAATAAAGAAACGTCATGTTGACTTTATCATACATTATCATGAAGCCTAGAAGGAGAATTCAGATACTAACCAAAAGGAACTGACTTTCTCCCACCCCCCCAGACCCTTCCCCAGGATGTAAGTTTATCCCATTTCTTTTGTTTCCACAATAAAAATGTAGGTACATTCACACGGGAAATATTCAAATTATGTTTAGGCAAGTAGAGAGAAGAAAATTCTTATGCTCAATTGGAGCAGGTGGTCAAAACCCAAACCCAGTTACTTTAAAAAGATCCTGAAGTTTAAGAAAAACGTGAGTAAGAACGAATCTGAAGATCCAGACAGTTCTGTGCACTTCCCACAGTGAAGGCCAAAGGCTCATTTCCAGCGTCACCAAGACTGCCACTAGTCAGGAGGGACTAGTTGCTCATATGCAGCTATCTATTTTTTGATACGAACAACCATAGACAAGGCTACAGCTGATATGGCAGAAACACTTTCACCACAAGTCCAGGAAAAGGCTCTAATTCATGGCTACACGCAAAGAGGTGCAGTAACGGCTCAATGTCCAGCTGGAGACCAGTA